CCCCCTTTTGGGGGTAAGATAGTAACTCTGTCCTTCTTTTTGGGGTAAATAGTAGACCCATCCCCCCCCTCTTTTTGGTAAATAGAAGATCCCGCCATCTTCTTGGGAAAGATAGTAGACTCCGAAACTTTTGTGGTAAATGGGTTAACTCTGTCCTTCTCTTGGGGGTAAGATATAGACCCCATCCTTCTCTGGGGAACATGGGGACCTGTCCTCTTTTGGGGTAAGAAATTAACCCCTGCCCCTTCTCGTTGGTAAGATAGTAGACCCATCCTTCTCTTGTGGAAAAGAAAAAAAAAGACCCCGTCCATCTCTTGTGGTAAGAAAAGTAAAAAACCTCCTTTCCATCCTTGGGGGAAAATAGTAGCCCTCTGCCTTTCCTTTTTTTTGTTTTAAGATAGTGACCCCATCCTTCTCTGGGTTTTTGGTAACTTTATTTTAACCTGCCCCTTCTTTTTGTGGAAAGGGATAGTAGACTCTGTCCTTCTCTTGTGGTAAGATAGTAGACTCATCCTTCCCTTGGGGTAAATAGTAGACCCGTCCTTCTCTTTTTGGTAAGATATAGACTCCGCCATCTTTTGGGTAAGATAGAAAGACTCTGTCCTTCTCTTGGGTAAGATAGTAGACCCCAAACCTTCTTTTTGTGGTAACATAGTAGCCCCTCGGGCCTTCTCTTTGGGGGAAAGATGAAAATCTGCCCTTCCCCTTGGTAAGATAGTAGACTCCACCCTTTCCCTTTTGGGGTAAGTAGTAAACTCTGTCCCTTCTTTTGTGGTAAGATAGTAACTCTGTCCTTCTTTTGGGGTAAGATAGTAAAACTCCCCTTCTCTTGTGGTAAGAAGTAGACCCCCCCCTTTTCCCTTCTCGTGTGGTAAGATATTAGACACCATCCTTCTCTTATGGAAAGATAAAATTTCCGTCCTTCTCTTGGGGGAAAGAAAAAGACTCCGCCCTTTCTCTTGGGGTAAATAGTAGACCTGTCCTTCTCTTGTGGAAAGATAGTAACTCCGCCTTTCTCTTGGGGTAAGATTAAGACTCCGCCTTCTCTTGTGGTAAGAAGTAACCCCCGTCCTTCTTTTGGGGTTTAAGATAATAGACTCCTTTCCTTCCTCTTTTGGTAAGATAGTAAAAACCCCCATCCTTCTCTTGGGGTAAAATAGTAGCCCTTTTTCCCTTTCTCTTGGGGTAAATAGAAAGACTCCGCCTTTTCTCTTGGGGTTAAGAAAGTAGACTCCGTCCTTTCTTGTGGGAAGAAGTAAACTCCGTCCTTCTCTTGTGGAAAATTTATAACTCCCCATCGATCTTGAGAATTAAAAAACCCCGGGAAATTCCCCAAAAAAACGCACAACCCCCGGGCAACAGGGGTTTCGGGGGCGGGTTTCCGCTCCGCCCCCAAAACGACTTTTGGATTCAATAATTGGGCCTTTGGAAGTAACGGGAAGAAATCAAAATCCCAGATGTAATATACCCGACTTTGCAAAAGCGTTTGACAAGTGCGATCATGGCGTAACAGCGCACAAAATACGTGCTAAAGGAATAACTGGGAAAGTGGGGAGATGGATCTTCAACTTCCTAACAAACCGAACACAAAGAGTAGTGGACAACAGAGTTAAATCGGAGGCTGCCATAGTGAAGAGCTCTGTTCCACGAGGCACAGTACTCGCCCCCATCCTGTTCCTCATCCTCATGTCAGACATAGACAGAGATATAACCCACAACATCGTATCATCCTTTGCAGATGATACTAGGATCTGCATGAGGCTGTCATCTATTGAGGACACGGTTCACCTCCAAGAAGATATAAACAAAGTTTTCCAATGGGCAACGGCAAACAATATGATGTTCAATGAGGACAAATTCCAACTACTCCGTTATGGAAAACTGGATGAGATAATAACTAGAACTGAGTATACTACAAACTCTGGCCATACAATAGAGCGGAAAAATAATGTAAGGGACCTGGGAGTAGTAATGTCTGAGGATCTCACGATCACAAGTGCAAAGAAAATGATAGGATGGATAATGAGAACGTTCAGAACGAGAGATGCCAAGCCAATGATGATACTTTTCAAATCACTTGTTCTCTCTAGACTGGAATACTGTTGTACATTAACATCCCCGTTGAAAGCAGGTAAAATTACGGATCTAGAGAGTGTACAGAGATTCTTTACTGCACGTATAAGTTCTGTCAAGCACCTTAACTACTGGGAACGCTTGCAAGCACTTGACTTGTGCTCGTTGGAACGCAGGAGAGAGAGATATATCATAATCTACACTTGGAAAATCCTGGAAGGATTGGTCCCAAATCTACACACAGAAATCACTCCCAAATAAAGTAAAAGACTGGGCAGGCGATGCAGGATACCCCAATTAAAAGTAGTTCGGGGCCCAAGACTGTTCAACAACCTCCCAGCAAGCGTAAGGGGAATTATCAATAAACCCCTGGCTGCCTTCAAGAGAGAGCTGGACAGATACCTAGAGTCAATGCTGGATCAGCCGGGCTGTGGCTCGTACGTTAGACTGCGTGCGACCAGCAGTAACAGCCTTGTTGATCAGGCCCTGATCCACCGGGAGACCTGGTCGTGGACCGGGCCGCGGGGGCGTTGATCCCCGGCATAGCCTCCAGGTAGTCTCCAGGTAGATAGTAGACTCCGTCCTTCTCTTGCGGTAAGATTTTAGACACCGTCCTTCTCTTGTGGTAAGATAGTAGACTCTATCCTTCTCTTGTGGTAAGATAATAGACTGTCCTTCTCTTCTGGTAAGATAGTAGACTCCATCCTACTCTTATAGTAAGATAGTAGACTCCATCCTTCTCTTGTGGTAAGATAGTAGACTCCATCCTTCTCTTATGGTAAGATAGTAGACTCCATCCTTCTCTTGTGGTAAGATAGTAGACTCCATCCTTCTCTTGTGGTAAGATAGTAGACTCCATCCTTCTCTTATGGTAAGATAGTAGACTCCATCCTTCTCTTGTGGTAAGATAGTAGACTCATCCTTCTGTTTTGGTAAGATAGTAGACTCCATCCTTCTCTTGTGGTAAGACAGTAGACTCCATCCTTCTCTTGTGGTAAGATAGCAGACTCCATCCTTCTCTTGTGGTAAGATAGTAGACTCCATCCTTCTCTTATGGTAAGATAGTAGACTCCATCCTTCTCTTGTGGTAAGATAGTAGACTCCGTCCTTCTCTTGTGGTAAGATAGTAGACTCCATCCTTCTCTTGTGGTAAGATAGTAGACTCCATCCTTCTCTTGTGGTAAGATAGCAGACTCCATCCTTCTCTTGTGGTAAGATAGTAGACTCATCCTTCTCTTATGGTAAGATAGTAGACTCCATCCTTCTCTTGTGGTAAGATAGTAGACTCCATCCTTCTCTTGTGGTAAGATAGCAGACTCCATCCTTCTCTTGTGGTAAGATAGTAGACTCATCCTTCTCTTATGGTAAGATAGCAGACTCCATCCTTCTCTTGTGGTAAGATAGTAGACTCATCCTTCTCTTATGGTAAGATAGTAGACTCCATCCTTCTCTTATGGTAAGATAGTTGACTCCATCTTTCTCTTTTGGTAAGATAGTATACTCCATCCTTCTCTTGTGGTAAGATAGTAGACTCCATTCTTCTCTTGTGGTAAGATAGTAGACTCCATTCTTCTCTTATGGTAAGATAGTAGACTCCATCCTTCTCTTGTGGTAAGATAGTAGACTCCATTCTTCTCTTGTGGTAAGATAGTAGACTCCATTCTTCTCTTGTGGTAAGATAGTAGACTCCATCCTTCTCTTGTGGTAAGATAGTAGACTCCATCGATCTTGATGAATTATAAACACTTACAATATTTGTGTATCTTTATATTGTAGACGTTACGTTAACTAATGGCTTTATCACAACAATATAGGGGCATAAGTGGAACATTATAGAAAACGAGTGAATCAGTTTCTCAGGCTAGCACTGTCCTGTATTGTAGTGATAATGCCGTCGATTCGCGAAACGTCTCTAAATTAAAGATACCGAAATGTTGCATATGATTCAAATTTACCATCTTCTTGCTGTTGTATACCTTTGTTTCCCAGTTTAAGTTACTTAAGGTACTGGTATTTCATGTTTGCATTAACCACTTGCTCTATGAACCGCTTGCTCTATGAACCGCTTGCTCTATGAACCGCTTGCTCTATGAACCGCTTGCTGTATGAACCGCTTGCTCTATGAACCGCTTGCTCTATGAACCGCTTGCTGTATGAACTGCTTGCTGTATGAACCGCTTGCTGTATGAACCGCTTGCTCTATAAACCGCTTGCTCTATGAACCGCTTGCTCTATGAACCGCTTGCTCTATGAACCGCTTGCTCTATAAACCGCTTGCTCTATGAACCGCTTGCTCTATGAACCGCTTGTTCTATGAACCGCTTGCTCTATGAACCGCTTGCTCTATGAACCGCTTGCTCTATGAACCGCTTGGATTAGTACTTCACTAAGACTATAATTAAAACCTTAAGTTTGACCTGTATCTTTTATACAAGCGAATTGTTGTGAAGGATTCAAGTTGCTTGAATTACTTACAGATGTATATTAAATAATACTTAACTGGTCCAGTAAAACATGAAATATTGAGAGTTTTATCACGTAGTGATTTAAACTATTTAAACCACGAAATGAAATTACGTAAGTATCTAGAGTAGCACTGTATTGTGACTACTAGACAAACTATGCAGCTAGTAACTAAGTAACAAGCCGATAATAATTCTACTGTAAACCCTTTAAAAGGGGTAACAAAATATACTTTGATGTGAGACTCGGTTAAGTAAATATTTTAAAAAGTCTTAAAGCACACAGTAATTAACGAAAGTTTGCAAAAATCCAATAGAGAGAAACTGCACGTTTCTAGCCATTGCTGGATAACAGTTAATCATCATCTATTTACAAACCTCTGGAATAAATGACACAATAAGCAAAAGCAACCAAATCGAAATGAGCCTCAACAAGGGAACTTAGCTTTCTAATTTTTATCTTACGTAAAGTTGATCCCCTGAGCTAGGTAGTCCAGCATATGATCTTGATGTCTCCAGTCACTGTGGACTTTTCCTACTTCTTTAGTGTGAAAGGTACTCGTCGCCACTCTTAGTGTCGGTCGTCGTAAAAGCCTGAAAACAACCCACCGCGTTTAGTTCCATTCCTTTGCTACCTATTTACATTTTCACTTATTCATTTATATCTAATTCACATTTAATCCAAATTTTGGAGAATGTTTTTTTTAGACGATGTTTCGGACCACCAAGGACTATTAACGGAGAAATAGGTATTCAAAATATGACCCAGAAGGGACTGAAATGCAGATCAAAGGTTAATTCTGACTTGTTTCCCAATTTGTCTATATTCCACAAAGTATATAACAAAAACAGTGTCTGAGGAAAACTAATATCACGCACGTGTAATCCAAATAGAAAAAAAAAATATCAATGACACAATACTGTTCTAAACAGATGATCTTACACATCCAACAATGCTAAGAATCTCACCTGGTGAATTTATCGGGAAATAACGGTAGATTGGTAGCTAGCGTGAGACCTCGTTGGGGTGACCAGGTAGCAAGCAATATTGCATTGTCACTTGGTAAGCTGTAGGGCAGGTATGTATACATACTGCACAGGGAAAAAAATCTCTCTACATTCTTTCTTTCTTATTAAATTCATTAATTTAGAGACTTTCAGTCAGACTATCACGTATAGCAGAGAAATTACTAACTTCTTAGTTTAAAATTATGAAATACACAGACATTCACAACCGGTTATTCATTACCTGAACATTTTCGAACCGTCATTCACTACAAGCAACATGGAGTTGGTCACCGAGAAGGCTTCGTGGAGGTGATGCAAGTGCAGAAGAGACAAGCGGGTTACGACAAGTAGTCTCGTTGACCACACAAGGAAGTTCTTTAGGGACCACTCGACGAGAACTGCGAGAAAGACTGGGTCGTCACTCATCACCATCACAGTCGTACACCACGACTCCCGTCGCAGCTGTTGACGACAGCTTGGTAAATGTTATGAGACCGTCCAATTTAAATGGCAATGTAACTTAACCACTTTAGTAGAAATGTGAAGGTGACGTACCCGCCGAGCCTTGGCAACCACAGTGATGAGCTGCACCAACGTCTCATTAGCGTTGCGGATGTTCGATGTCACCTCAAACACTGCTACACCCCAGGGAGACCACGGATAAATTGTCTCCTGTATAAATAGGAACAGATGCGTGAATCGCATTTATTCAGCGAATTAATTTCTATAAGATTTATTTACGACAGTGTCAGATATTTTCACTATAAAAAAAACTGCCTACCCTTAATACATAGGTAGTAGATGGGGATCCGTCAGCAAAAAAGAAGACAGCGCATCTTGAGTCAGATTCTTCTCCAAGAACTGCTCTTATAACCTGAGGTGTTTCAGGGCCGTGACTACCTGAGGAAAACATTGCCTCTAGCATTACCAGGTAAGAAAATATTATGATACAGAAGATACAACTGTTGTAATGATGTTTACCTGTTCTTAGTATACTGTAAAAGGACGAGTTGAGGAATTGCATTTGTTTTTAATATGATTTCTTTACGTATCTGTTAAATGAAAAACAAATGATAAAAAAATGAATTTCAAATTGAGTTTTTTATGTAGATCGTCTTATATTATGAGACAATTTAACGGGAAAATTCTTGAGTCATGTAGTTTTAATATTTGTAGTTTTATGACATGTTAGTATTTATAAGAAAAATAATTTTTTTCCTTATTTAAAGAACAATGGAATTATTTATTTTTATACAAGAAATGAAAGTCATTTTAGTAATTAAAATATAGGTCAAATAAAATGCAATTTCGGTAATGTAATTAAACGTCTTTGCTATCAGTAAAATGTAATTTTATTAGACGAGAAAAAAAGGTAATAGACAGTTAAGTATAATCTTACATGGGATTCAAGGTCCAAGAATTTTCCAATAACTTTGAAGATGGTGAGATTTTCTTTATTTGTGTGTAAGGGTTTAGGTCTACTCACAGCCTACAGTAATTTCAGGATTTGTCTTGAAGCTTAATTTTTAAAAACATGATGTGCTCTAGGCCATCTAAAATCTCAAAAATATTTAAAATATATTATGGATTTTAGAATTCAAAATAAGTTTTGCGTCAAGAATTTAGTAACTGTCTTGCCAGTAGCGCCTGAGATAAAAGTTCAGATGATCCTCTGAACTGCAGCATCCTCACCCGTTGAAATATAAACACTTAAGCAGTATAATGTGATCCTTTATTTACAACGTTTCGTCCACGTAGTGGGCTTTATCAAGTCACACTTATCTGTATATCCAACAACTTCAACCAGAACAACGGCTTCTATAACATAGCTGAACATCTTACCAAGAAACTTCTTCATCGCTATCCCACATAACATAAGAATGGAGGAACACTGTAAAAGGTCTACTCATATACGTATCCAATCTCTTTTTAAAGCTACCCAAGGTCCTAGCCTCTATCACCCTACTCGGAAGATTGTCACATGCAGCATTCTCCACCTGACTCCATCTTATAAATACTCTCGTACCTTTTTTGTGACCTGATAAAGCCCACTGTGTGGGCGATACATCGTCAATAAAGAATCACATTATATTGCTTAAGTGTTTATATTTCCATTGTGTCGGTATTTTATACCATTTATTTCCATCTTCACTCATAATTCACAGTGCAGGCACTGTGCTTCCCACCTCCAGGATTCAAGATTGCCTAACCGGTTTCCTGAATTTTCCTTTTGAATTTTTCCTATAAATAAAAGCTTAATTTCTTATCATACTGCAAAAAGACTGTGTCTGCTTTCTTAACATATGACCATAATTTTTAAAGGGGTGGACAGGTAAGCCAGTAGAAGGCCTCGGTCAGATGACCAAAAGCTCCAACGGCGGGTCATCATGTGACTAAGATCAGCATCAGGAAACACTTGTCCTGTGTCCTGACGAACCTTACCTAACCTAACCTACATGAGAGAAGGATGGCGACTACTCTTTTGCCATATAGGAGACAGATGGAGCCTCCTGTCTTACCATATGTTTGAAGCTGATGAGCGGCATTAAGGTAGACAGCAGCAGACAGCAGCAGCGACCACAGAAGCGCCTCACTCAGCCACACCATCTCTGACCAACCACTGCAAACATGTCACAAGCTGTTATGTCCCTAATGGAAATAAGTCACTTTGTCTGACTTTTTGTGTTATCTTGGGTAATATACACGTGCTACTGTGTATGAAAATTTATGTAATTGTATTTATGTGTACCTGTACCGGAATAAACTTAGTTTTGTCAGTATTTGAACCATGCATGGTGGTGTACACTCACTCTACATCACATTGTTACCATGCTCAGTGCTTCACTATCATCATCACATTGTTACCAGTTCCAAACTGAGTGCAGCAATCTCATCCTCACATTTGCACTATTGACGGTATCTAATTATTGGTCATAAATCTGAGACTCCTGTGGGTTTGGTTTATTCACATCAGTACCTATGACGCTTAAATTTCACGAATTATCCATCGGTTCATTCATCACTTCCATTAATAACATTTTCTGAGGTGTGACATGAACTGTGGTGTTCCTAGTAATTAAAACATTCTTCACAGTGTCAACACAAACTTATGTTTCAGCTTAAAAGTTGCGAATCTGTTCAAAATGATATGGCCAACTGTTGTAGAAAGTAAGGAATTGTGATCCTTTCTCGCTATGTTCTGCACAAAACAATTATAGTAATCACTTCAGATAATTAACTGAATTAGGCTGACTCTGTATATTTGCTAAGACAGGTCTACTCTACTGAATGTAACAGTTGTAATTTGAAACTTTAGACACGGGCACTAGTTTGGAAGTTATCCATTACCGCAGTTTCCACCGTCTTTGCAATATTCCCAATACTGTCAGTGGATTTAGCTTAGTCACACATTTTATTAAAGACCCGGCGACATTAGGTTGTAGCTTGGTAAGAGACTTCTTGCCTAGTTAGAGCAATGTAATCTTCCTGCTGGACGACCTTTGTGAATCTTGTGTGATTCCTTACTAAGATTTAATTGAGCGATTGAAAATGCTGCAGACTTAGTGTCATCATTGAAGATTTATTCGTATTTTGTGGCACACCACTGAGTGCGGTAGCCTGGCTGGCTTCGTCTCCTATTGAAAACATTTAACAATCATTGTGATTTCCTTTGCACTTGAAACACGTCTCTTCTTCCTGGTTACCTGGACACTTGTCGCACAGGTACATCAGTTGGGCTCTTCCACGAACGGTTGTTGGCAGTGTACACAATCTTGTATCTTAGCATTTCAACGCACATATACATAGAAGCGTTTTTAAAATTATGGCTTGTCCATTCGTCATATTTTTTTATTTTTTTTATTAAATAAGTAGGTCCATTTGCCCCTGATGACAATTTACTGGCTGGATGTACTCTCCTTGATGAGACAATGTTTGGCCCCCACTTGTAAGAAAAGGAGTTTCGCAGTCGGGGTATCTTGTATACAAAAACAACGCCCTTTCAAACACGGTAATATCCACAGTAACAGTAGTTTGTATTAAATTTTAATTTTCCAAGCTTTCTTAACATGCCACGCTCCTTTCTTAGGCAACCCCAAAAGGACCTTCGAGGGGGTACCCGAATTGTATTTCCTTTCGTTACTTTTTCCTACAATTCGAGGCGTCACCTGCTCAGTTTCAAATTCTCATTAAAATAACTGGCATCTGCACCTGCCTGGTGACCAACGTCGGTAAACTCATTCCCAGCAGTCGAAGGACCGGATAACGCCCAAAAAACAATCAGTGGGAAATTAGAAATTCAAATAGGTGAATTTAATTTCGACGACGACGGGGGGGAATTCAAGTGGATGGTAGGATTTGGAATTTTTTATATGTTAAACAATATATTTTTTTAAGCTCGTTATATCACGTTAAAAAACTGCTCCTTACATTTTCTGAACGGCTGCAGTATTTGATAAATGACGCTTCTCATGGCTAGGAGAGTACCCATGAAATTCAATTGGCGAGTTATAATTTAAAGAAATTTAAAATAAAACGGGAATAGGATAGCAGATGAACAAGGAGGCTTTAGGAAAGGAGGGGGTGTGTACCAGGTTTTTTCAGTGAAACATAAAGTGAACAGATTTAGATAGGGTAAAGAGGTCTTTGTGGGATTTATGGATTTGGAAAAAAGGGGTATGACAGGGTGGATGGGGGGCAATGGGCAGATGTTGCAAGGTATGGTGTAGGAGGGAGGTTATGAAAGCATGAAAGTTTTTACGAGGATAGTGAGCTCAGTTGAGATGGGAAAAGGGGGAAATTTTTTCCCCCGTAAAAAAATAGGGCCTTAGACAAGGATGTGTGATGTCCCGTGGTTGTTTAAATATTTATAGATGGGGTTGTAAGAGAAGTAAATGCGAGGGTCTTGGCAAGAGGCGTGGAGTTAAAAGATAAAGAATCACACACAAAGTGGGAGTTGTCACAGCTGCTCTTTGCCGATGACACTGTGCTCTTGGGAGATTCTGAAGAGAAGTTGCAGAGATTGGTGGATGAATTTGGTAGGGTGTGCAAAAGAAGAAAATTAAAGGTGAATACAGGAAAGAGTAAGGTTATGAGGATAACAAAAAGATTAGGTGATGAAAGATTGAATATCAGATTGGAGGAGAGATATGGAGGAGGTGAACGTATTCAGATATTTGGGAGTGGACGTGTCAGCGGATGGGTCTATGAAAGATGAGGTGAATCATAGAATTGATGAGGGAAAAAGAGTGAGTGGTGCACTTAGGAGTCTGTGGAGACAAAGAACTTTGTCCTTGGAGGCAAAGAGGGGAATGTATGAGAGTATAGTTTACCAACGCTCTTATATGGGTGTGAAGCGTGGGTGATGAATGTTGCAGCGAGGAGAAGGCTGGAGGCAGTGGAGATGTCATGTCTGAGGGCAATGTGTGGTGTGAATATAATGCAGAGAATTCGTAGTTTGGAAGTTAGGAGGAGGTGCGGGATTACCAAAACTGTTGTCCAGAGGCTGAGGAAGGGTTGTTGAGGTGGTTCGGACATGTAGAGAGAATGGAGCGAAACAGAATGACTTCAAGAGTGTATCAGTCTGTAGTGGAAGGAAGGCGGGGTAGGGGTCGGCCTAGGAAGGGTTGGAGGGAGGGGGTAAAGGAGGTTTTGTGTGCGAGGGGCTTGGACTTCCAGCAGGCATGCGTGAGCGTGTTTGATAGGAGTGAATGGAGACAAATGGTTTTTAATACTTGACGTGCTGTTGGAGTGTGAGCAAAGTAACATTTATGAAGGGATTCAGGGAAACCGGCAGGCCGGACTTGAGTCCTGGAGATGGGAAGTACAGTGCCTGCACTCTGAAGGAGGGGTGTTAATGTTGCAGTTTAAAAACTGTAGTGTAAAGCACCCTTCTGGCAAGACAGTGATGGAGTGAATGATGGTGAAAGTTTTTCTTTTTCGGGCCACCCTGCCTTGGTGGGAATCGGCCGGTGTGATAATAAAAAAAAATAAATTTTTGTTAATATAGTGAAATAATTATAAAGCTTGGAATTGTTGGAATATGTAATGTATATTGGAGAATGACTCTTCTGATCGGTTTTAATTTTCCATCGCTGGTCTTGTATCCTGAAGACAACGTTCGTGATGACACTGAGTGGCCTACGTCACAGTTACCAAATTTTATTCAATAAATAACAATATTTATCTGTAGTCAATAACTAGACAATGCTTCTTCATATTGGCTTCAAACGTTATTGATGATACCCCAAAAGTCTAGTCACAGTAGGCTAGTAATTTGGAATTATACTGAAACTGTTAAAAAATCTGGAATGGTTTGAATCAGATCAGTTGCTGAAGAACGTTTTTTCTGATCGTTTTAAATATTCTCTGTTGGTGTATTTATTAAGAGAAAGATTCGCGTTCACTTTGAGTTGTCAACATTTCAATTTGCCAGTTTTATTAAACAAATTGTTTCCCAAGTAATAACTAGGGATTGACTTTCCTATCGGCTTCAAACTCTAAATGCAAATTTATCTTAATTGGAAGTACTATTTTGTTTTTATTTTGGGCTGAGCTACTGCCCATTTCATAATATCTTTTAAAGCAATTTTATCAAATATTTTCCTTATAGGTTCATAAAGAATTTGAAATAGAACATAAATGAGAAAAGAAAACTGAAAAAGAAAAGTCTGGTATGGAAGGAACTTTCAAAGTTAACGATAACTGACTTCTAAATTTCGGCCATTTCCTAATTTTGTGTCCGTGAGATGTAAAGAGAAAACCTTCTTTTTCCAGTTTAAAAATTTCAACACTTGAATCCTCCTTAAAAGAATATTGCTGACCAAATCATACCTCGCATGGCATCCTGACCAAATCATGCCTCGGTTCATGGATTATGTGGACCAGACACCACTGACTCAGTGATCAGGTTCATTACATCATGTAGTAATGAATCTACCCATGTTTTCCAGAATATTGAATTAAATTGTACAATAATGTAACTGGAACAATACACATAACCTACACATAAGTTGATAAAACTTATAACGGCGTTTTGGTTCGACTTGAACCATTAATTACCAACACAGAAGAGCGAAGAATTTCATTAACTGATTCGTCAGGAGCTGCGTCCTAAGATGACCCGTTGGAGGCTCTCGAATGAGACTCCTTTCTGAGTATGAGGTTGATAGCCACGAGTCTGTTGGACTCTTTGGGCACGACTCAGCAAGTTGTTTTCCTGACCAGTAACGTGTCTGACCAGGGATAATGTTGAATATCACCAGTCTGGTTCTCCCTTCCATACTCTCAGTATGGAAGGGAGAAAGAAGAGGGGAAATTTACATATACGGTAAATTCCAGTATTTCGCATTTTTCGAAGATCAAGAAGAGAGGTCAAGCCGACTGACAAGCTAGATTTGTAAATTTGCAATTTTTTTTTATTAATTTTCATTAGGAATATAAAGTACTCTAGAAGGGAAGGAGTATTATGTACGATGTTTTAACATTTATTGTAAAAGTTGTAACATGGAATTGTATCTTACCTTCAATCTTTTTGTGTAGTCTCTTGTTTTCTGTCACTCTTACTGTTTGGAGTTTAGGCTTTTGTTTTGTTTATGGATACTGTCGGTATACATGCCTGTTGGATGGCACCAGGATATTGATATTATACATTACATAAAACTTACGAAAATATTTTGCAAAAGTTTAACATTCTTAGATACACACTAAGTGGGAAACAATGAATAACGCCTGTTGATTATATTTTTAATGGAATTTTAATTAAACGATGTTGATACAAAGGCTGAAAAGTGAAGACGTAGCCCATTACAGTGGGCTTACTTAATACTATTCTGCTATATTATACATTATATGGGCTTATTGTATACTATACTGGCTACAATCTTATTGAAGCTACAATCTTGTTAGGTAAGACACATATGCAACAGTTAGGTATCTTTATTATGAAACGTTTCGCCTACACAGTAGGCTTCTTCAGTCAAGTACAGAAAAGTTGATAGAAGCAGAAGATACTTGAAGACGATGTAATCAGTCCATCACCCTTAAAGTTTTGAGGTGGTCAGTCCCTCAGTCTGGAGAACAATGCTCTTCTCCAGACTGAGGGACTGACCACCTCAAAACTTTAAGGGTGATGGACTGATTACATCGTCTTCAAGTATCTTCTGCTTCTATCAACTTTTCTGTACTTGACTGAAGAAGCCTACTGTGTAGGCGAAACGTTTCATAATAAAGATACCTAACTGTTGCATATGTGTCTTACCTAACAACCTGTCGGTATTTTATACCATTTTAATGTTCAAGCTACAATCTTATTGCGGCTATAATCTTACTGTAGCCAGTTGGCCCAGTGGCTTACCCACAGACCTCAACTTTCACGACTCATTAAGAATTTTAACACCACCAGTATTGTAATTTGTTTCTAATAGTGTTATTACTGTTTCGTGAGTTATACTAAGTAAGTGCCATTGCCATTTTCAGCGTCACCATCAAGAAGCAACAGTCTATTGCTATTTTAATTATCCACATTGAACATAACAGTCTTGTGTTCGGAGTTTAAATCACTCTTAAGCAAGTCACTCTGGGAATGGTTTCAAAAGGGTAGAATGTATTATCTAGATATCCCGTACTAAGTGTTAGTTTCAAATTCAGAAGCGATCATTAAATTACTGTAAACTTATCAAAATTTATTTAGTTGGATTAGGCTAAATTAAATTGCACTTGTTATAATAAGGTTAGGTAAGTTTTCTAAGGTTCTTTTGGTACAAAAATATATCTTTAAACGTATAAGAG